ACCACAGAATTCCACTATAATTTATCAGACTTAGTAACTAAGCTGTATTTGGGCATAAAAAAATATAATTTTTCGAGCTCACTAATATCTTACCTTACCACTTGGAATCTAGCATAAAAAGAAAGAGTTTGCTGCACAAATACTTCACAGAGACTGAGAAAACCAATAGGGGACATTCTGAACTTTCAGTTGGTTATATACATGTCATTGGGCAAAGTAGGTGTATGTAAGCAAGTATTTTCAAAAATGGAAAAGGTGGGCAGGGCCACCTTTTTTGATTCAATAAATATGGTAATATCTCAGAAAATAGAAAAGATAGAAGGTTCTTATCTTATACTCTAGCTTGTTAATATCGATAATTTAAGTATCTAATTCATAAGAAACTATAGACTTTGTATTTGGACATGGCAAACACCTAATTTGAACCAATGCTGCATTCAACATACCACGTGACACACAAAAATCGATATTTAGGATTTTTTTTAAATGTTTAATTTTAAATTAAGGAATTAACTAATGTATATTAGTAAAATTTGAATTATAATCTACAATTTGATACCAAATTTAAAGACATACATTCATAAAATAGTAATTCAATAAATTTTTTAATGCGAGTCTACAAACATGATGACATGGCCTTTGACCCGTGACCATAGGAAGACCTCTATCGGTAGGCTTAAATGGCAAAATTTAATACAGCCCTTTTATTGATTTTTAGTTCTGTTCCTCAATATAGGTTTATGGCAAATCAAGTATTCAGTTATTGGTATGAAAACATAAGCAACATTACAACATTTTGTTCATCATTGTTTTAGAATTTGAGTAGAGTGGAGTATTGAAATATTAAAGTCCCGGAAAATCTAAACTAGAAGTTTGAGACTTATTCTACCTTTTAAGTTAATCCTGAAAAGCTGAAGTCTAAAATCATAAAATAAAATTTTCTCATTTATTTTTACAATGCCTTTTAATAATGAGTTCAGCATGAATGGATAAGAATTTGTCAAAAATGAATTATATTGAAAGAAATAAAGAACTTGATTGGATCATGAAACCTGTCAGAACTTAAAATCATTCATTTAACATTGATTAATAACATGGAAGCAAACGTTTCAAAGAGATTGTTTCTTGTTGCTTTTTAATCTAAGAGAATTAATGATGGAGAATTAGTACTTTAAATTGATTTATTGTGTGTATATTAAAATGGATGGTGCTGCTTTGTATATCTCTTAGTTATTACACTTGGTAAGTGATAAGTTTTAGATGTATTAGCTGAGAATTTTTTGTTAATGCCTTTTGATATGTGTGTATGTTCCTGATGTTATTCTAAGACAGTGATAAGTATAATTTCAAAATCAGAGAAACAATACCTTCTTTGGAATATACAGTACAAGTGATGGTCCTAATCTATTTAAAAACTAATTACCTGTTCGTTTGTAGTACTCATTTTGCTTGAGAGCATACCTGAAGCATGATTATTATTTTAATTTTAATTTTATCAAGGAATCTAATTCATGTTAGCAAAACATTTAGCTGCTGTCTCCACATGTTTGACCTTTTATTGTACTATTTAGATTTGGTAAGGGAAGGTTGAATTTTCATTATCTTGGTATTTTTTATCTGATTGTTCTGTACTTCTGCCGATAGCCTGCTACTGTACCTGAAGAGAAGAGGAGAGAAATATTAATGTCAGCTCTACATAATAATAGGAGTAGGTATGTAAATCAAACTTTTGAAAACTATTACTGACAATCGTAACTACAAAACATTTTTATTGAAAAAGTGTAACTTTTGTAATAATAATGGTTAGTGTAAATACAAAAATATCTCATCAAGCATCAACTGATCATAAACATTTGTATGGATTTTGATATTGGGTCTCTTTTTCTTACCTCACTCAGTGAAAAACTAGAAACTCGTGTGAAACCTTATAGGGAATTTTTTATAGTGAAGTGAGTGCCTGTAAAACTTTAAGAAATCATTCTTGGTACTTTATGTGATGTTTATGTATATACATATATTACCTTATCAGAAATACCTATACAACTCTTGAGTATGTGATATGGTACACCAGTCTTGTATGGTAAAGCAACTCGATCATTAGATTGGTATTGACACAGCATATACAATATGTGAGTTAAGTAAATATGAGGAAGAATTATAAGCTTCTGGAAAAATCAATCATTGAGATCATTCAACACAACAAATCAATCATTGGTTTTGCTTGAGATCATTCAACACAACAGGGTACTCGACGGCATAATACCTAAAAAGTGTTCATATCGGACGATAGTTCTCCTGGAGTTTAAAATTTGTTCACTTGTTTGGACTGGAAGAAAAGTGCTAAAAGTTTTCTCTGAAATAATTTTACTGTACTTTTATTGAGTCCATTCTGAGCAGTCACTACTATAAGGTCTATCAATCATGCACTTCGTGAATATTGATTGTTTGTCGAGGAAAGATGTGAGTTGTCACACCTGTTAATTCTGTGTGCCACTTGCTCTTCATGAATATTTGTAGATTTTAGAAGTATGATTCATAAAGTACACATCAATTCCAGGAAGTCTGAGCACTCTTACACTTACTGGAATAATAATTGAGAGCAACTTTGTACAGATTTCAAGGTATCAGAAGAATTGTGGTAGAGGTGTTATGGTATGGGTTACATTCTGTTCAATGAACTTGATATAATGTTATCTACCATGTTTTCTTGCCTGGTTTTAAAATAATATCAATGTCTTAGAATTTAGTTGTACTCGGACCTTAGCCCTTTACAATATTTTTGAGACTATTGACAAAATGTTCTAGTCATTATCAATTGATTGAGCTTTTGAAATAATAATGGGAAAAAAAAAGTGTACTTGGCATCTTTCAGAACTTCTTCAGGGCATGTTACAAAGTAACAGCTGTTTTTCAAGTTCTTATGTTGGTATTAAACTATTTTACAAGGGTGATTTCTTAGACCCTTCTAATACCATATGATCAGATTCTTATGTTAGGGCAGTATTCATATATATATATATGTATCTGCACACTTATGTATAGAAGGGTAGATGGGAAATAAAGTTGTGTTAACCCTTTCACAATGAGTTTGTATACATGTTTGCACACATTATGTTTTTATACTTTTACCTTATAATTCAGTATGTGCATCTTCACAAAATTTGGTATATCTTTAGTAAACATTACAAGTCTTTTGTTCACAAAAAAATCAAAATTTTTAATTAAGTATTTTTACTAAAGATTTGTTTGTGAATATATCAAGAAATTTGAAATAATAGGAGCAACTGTGCCTTTTTTCGTTATTATTGGTCACAAAGTTTCAAAGTACTTCTCTTACGAGTTTGAACTGCTAAACATCTCACATTTATTTTCTGTGTTTATTTTACTGTCAACAACTAAAGTAGAACCCTGCTGAAAATAAACCATTAAATCGCTGCTTGTGTCAGTAGACTGTTTATCTGACACCACAGTAATACGATACTCCTGAAAACAACAAAGCACACGCAAAAAGATAGTCGACTCGACCCCAGCTCCGAGAACAGGATGTCTAATGTATTGGATCATATATGCTAAAAATTCAGAGTAATCACACTGCACTTAAAATTAGTGAAAACGTTTATGCCGACAACAAGATGTGTAATTTATCGGCTGGTGTATGTATTTTACATGAAAACGTTTATGCCGACAACAAGATGTGTAATTTATCGGCTGGTGTATGTATTTTACAGTGTTCACAACAAGACTTTTCGAGAGTAACAGAACTGCACTTTGAATCTGTCAAAACATTTATTATGTAGTTTGATGCTGATAGAATAAACATTTAAATTCTTTGAATATTGGTAATCCTTTTGGGGTGTTTGGAATTTAGTGGCATAGGTGTAGAAAGATGTTATTTGAGCACATGCTTCTAAAATCGTATTCAGTACTTATTTGTCAACCAGTAAAAACTGTAGTTTTGGTATTACTTATTACACTCATTTAGTTTTGGTACTACTTATCACACTCATTTAGTTTTGGTACTACTTATCACACTCATTTAGTTTTGGTACTACTTATCACACTCATTTAGTTTTGGTACTACTTATCACACTCATTT